AGATCGCTGTGTTAGAGGATGGAGATGGCCTTGAAAAGAGCTTTGAAGGCATCATGGTGTATTTGGTTCTTGGGCATAACTGCACTGGGCCTCATTCTTCCAGGTTTGCTTATTCTTTGGGGTTTGCTCCACCTCCTTTATTCTTCAATTGTGTACCAGCAGAGAGATGCTGTAAATAACTGGACTGAATTCCTGAATTACTGATTTGGGAAATGTGGGTACATTATTCTCCTTCCCAAGAGATAGCTAAGGTTTCTCCTGAGGTTTGCAGAAAATTTTGAATCAGACTGTTTCAAATTCAGAACAAATTCATTTCAGTGCCCTATTTTGAGCATGAAACAGAAGACACTCAAGCTCAAAACAATGCTTTGTCTATATCACTGTCTAAAGCAAAAAACAAAACTCCCCCCTTTTATAAAACAAAACAAAATACGAAATCCCAAATCATTAAATTCCATTATGTCCATTCTCTGGATTGATATAGGCAACTCATTTCTTTTGTTCTTGAGCATATTGTTTGTCTCTTTAACTAGGTTGCTTTGTTTTTGTTCTTTTTGAAACTTCCCAACTGGTTCATCTTATGGTAAAAGGAAAAGCCTCTCACTTCATGGTGATTTTCAGACTCTTTCCAAGAGGTGGTTCTAGAGATAAACAAATTCAAAGATAGCTCCTGGGCCAGTGAGAATGACTTTAAACATTTTTTTTTCTTCAGAAACAGGATGGGCAAGTTCTCTGAGATCCTCATTTGGCAACATCATGTCAAAACTGTCATCTTTCATCTGCCATGTCTTTGCTTATACAGTATTTAAAGTAGTCAACAAGTAATTAATTCTGTGGTATGCATCAAACTGCTTTTCTCAACTCAACCAGAATTAACCGAGAGTGAGAATTGTCCAAATATGAGTCATCCATCAAAGCCCACAAAAATAACAAAAGACAATTGAGTTGTCAACAAATTTTCGCAACCAAGCAAGAACGCTTCCCATACTTAATTTATTTCCATAAACAATAAATTCCAAATTTCATTAATAGACTCTTTAGAAAATAGAACATACATGAACCGCAATAGCTGAGTCAATGTAGTAATACCATGTTTTTTTGAAAATAAGACAGGGTCTTATTTTCTTTTGACCCCTGAAATAAGCGTTTGGCCTTATTTTCAGGGAGGTCTTATTATTTTTGACGTGCAGGAGGTGGCGAGCATGGTCACCTCATGGCTGCTGCTGTGTTGCAATATTTTGGGGGAGGGCTTATTTTAGCGCATGCACTCAAAAGCCAATTGGGCTTATTATCCGGGGAGGTCTTATTTTCAGGGTAAGTGGTGAAATAGCATTCATACTGGTATTAATGTATGTATTTCTGATGTCCTGCTTATTTTTCCTTGTTTTAGGAAGCCCTTTCCTATTGGAGATAAAGTGACATTTAGCGGCAAGGATTGTGTTTGCCAAACTTGTTCCCATTCACTGATTAGTAATAAACCTATCAAGATTCATGGACCAAGCCGTAAGTCATGTTGATTTCTCTTCTTTATGCAGCATCCAAAGAAGATTAAGGGGTAGAAAATATTGTAAAGACCATAAAAACCAGAGGTCATCTAGCAATCTAGAACTGTTTATTGATTCTTTATGCAATCTAGTAGGATTTTTGCCCTGAACTGATTTTACATTTTATAATTTTATAATGCCTTGGTAAGGCCACACTTGGAATACTGCAAACCATTTTGATTGCCACGATATAAAAAAGATGTGGAGACTCTAGAAAGAATGCAGAGAAGAGGAACGAAGATGATAAGGGGACTGGAGGCTAAAACATATGAGAATGGTTGCAAGAACTGGGTATGTCTAGTTTAATGAAAAGAAGGACTAGAGGAGACATGATAGCAGTGTTCCAAGATCTCAAAGAAGAGAAATCTCAAGCTATTATCCAAAGCACCTGAGGGTAAGACAAGAAGCAATGGGTGGAAATTAATCAAGGAGAAAAGCAACTTAGAACTAAGGAGAAATTTCCTGACAATTAGTCAGTGGAACTTGCCTCCAGAAGTTGTGAATGCTCGAACACTGGAAGTTTTTAAGAAGAGATTGGATAACCATTTGTCTGAAGTGATGTAGGGTTTCCTGCTTAAGCAGGGAGTTGGACTAGAAGACCTCCAAGGTCCCTTCCAACTCTGTTATTCCATTCTATTGTAAGTTGGCTTAATTTGCATCCATATACTGTTAAATGTTAAAAGGCACCCAGCATAAATCATAACAATACTAAATATTAAGACTTTTTGAAAGAACACATCTCAAAGGATACTTTTCTTGATTCAAGATATTTGGGATTCTTGGCAGAGAAAGGAAAGGTGAATATATTATAAATAATGATGATGGTAATGGTCTTCAACATCACTATCATCACCAACTTGATTTATTTAAAATATTTCTCTATCACTTTGAATTACAGAAAATCTGAAAATAATTTACACTATCCATAGTCAATAAATTCTGGATTAAAACAAAGTAGATGATGATGATCATGATGATTTTAAAGAAATCAAAATAATACACAAATGTGATCATGTATATCTGTGGTGGCCAAAAGCCGCATTTAACTTTTTATTTTGACGGGGGAAGGAGGTACAATTTACTCATGTTTTACATTAATTGTGGTAAAAGTGCATTAATTGCACTTTTTATTCTTTTGGTTATGCTGAATTTCGATTCTGACTTCTGATTTCATGATATGAAAGACTCAAAGGACTAGAACAGAGTCTTCTTGCAATCTTCATTCCTTGGTGAAGTCTTTTGCCTTGAAGGAGTGCCTGCAGTTGGCATTGTCCTACTGGGGCAGCCGCTATTTGTTTCTCCCTTGCTATCAGGCAGAAAACACAATCAGATCAGCTAATTCTACTGCATTTGAAGGTTACATTAACAGAATCTTGCAAGTCTGAAACTCCAATTCTTCTCCCATCTCCTTTACCCTGAGAAATTGAGGGTGTGTGTGTGTCTCTTTCAACCCTCTATCTTGCTATGGTCTATGCTGTCTCTTATCTGACCAGTCCTAGGCAGTATGACTAGCCTCAGTCTCCCAAGGTCATTCCAACCTACCATTATACTTGTTGATCTCTCTTGAACTGAAGCACCGATATATTTATGAAATGCCCACAACCCAGAAGCCTTTCATGCAAAGCCACTTCCTTGCATTTTTTCCATGTGTTTGTCCATGAAAGCTGTGAGGGTAAGAAAAAGAAGTCATTTGCTTTCTCCATGTTTCTTCACTATTGTTTTTTCAATCATGCCCTGATCAATGGAGTATGGGAGAGAGCTTCCCTGCTTGTGGCTTGGTAGATGATGCTGAAATCTGTGGCTAGAAAAGGGCCCAGAAGCAAAAGCTACCTTCAGGTTATATGATGGGCTTCTATGCCCAACCATGCTAAAAAGCTGTTGCTTACTGAACATACAAATAGGGGGCTCTTGTAAAAGCCTTGTAATGAGCAATCTCTATCAGGCTGCCTACCAGCTGGATGCAATTGCACAGCAAGCTGTGTGATCTCACAGTGGAGGCAATAGATGTTACTGTCTCCTTAGATTACTAAGAGAAGAATGACACAGTATTCCTTGCTACAATCACAAAACAGTGCTTCCTTGTGACAGCTGGCACTTGGCAGAGCTGTTCGAAGCTGCCAAACAAGAACACAGTGGCCACAATTCAACAGGAGAATTAAGGGTGCGTAAGCCTGTTGATTTAAGCTGCTGATACATGCAGAACTCCCAGCTGGACTACAGCCTGTTTGGTTCAAGGTGGTAAAAGTCACATTTCTGCCTTTGTTTCTACAGAAACATGAGAGTTGTAGTGTAGCTACATTTGGAAAAGGTAATTCCTTCTCTGCTCCTGTTTTCAATATTTAAAAGGCTGTCTTAGTGCAGGAAAATCACAAAGTCAACAAGAATTCCACAGTGTTGGCTCACCCTTTTTCCAGGAAAAAGCGTGGAGGCGCTGTGTTTCTTTTCCCAGATCAGCTGAGTTGAGCTAGAGAAAAAGCTGTCCATGTCCAAGGCTTGCTTTGCTTTTAAAGTTTGTGTGAAGATGCAAACACAGATGTTCTGTAGGAGCCAAAAAGAGTGGGGAGTGGGTCTTGCAATTTCACTGGAGTCCAACTGTAAAATAACAGAAAATGGACATGTGTACTCAAAACGCTGAGGCCCCTTCTCCTTATTACTTTCTGTGTTTGTAGTATCTCCAGAAAATTGCCACACTGTTGTTATTGTGCTTTAGTATTTTGATAAAGGATGCCTTATTAATTCACTTCAGAATAGAGCTGGAAGGGACCTTGGAGGGCTTCTAGTCCAACCCCCTGCTCAAGCAGGAGACCCTATACCATTTCAGACAAATGGTTGTCTGATCTCTTCTTTAAAATTTCCAGTGTTGGAGAATTCACAACTTCTGGAGGCGAGTCATTCCACTGATTAATTGTTCTAATTGCCAGGAAATTTCTCCTCAGTTCTAAATTGGTTCTCTCCTTAATTAGTTTCCATCCATTGCTTCTTGTCCTGGCCTCTGGTGCTTTGGAAAATAAATTGACCCCCTTTTCTTTATGCCAGCCCCTCAAATAGTGGAATACTGCTATCATTTTTACTTATTTATTTCATTAATGTATTAGATAACATATACAGTATAAGTCTAAATATGATTTTGGATACATGAAATGCATGTGAATAAAATGAAACATTAGGACAGGGACGGTAGGCATGTTGGTGCGCTTATGCATGCCTCTTACAGACCTCTTAGGAATGGGGTAAGGTCAACAGTATACAGTCTAAGGTTAAATTTTGGGGGGCTTGGGGAAGAATGCCACCCTAGTTCTTCTTTTCTCTAGTCTTCTTTTGTCTAATAACCTTCTTTTATTCCTCATGAAATCAACCAATGCCACAGATGTTAATAGAATATTAAATCCCATTCTTATATACCCTTTGGTTCAATGTTTGTCCCTGTAATGAACTTTTTAGAACAATGAAAGTGACAGTTCTCCTTTTAGTTTTAAATACTTCGGGGTGTCTGCTCATGGATAAGAATGATGTGGCTTCTTGAGTTGGTTTCTGATCATGGTGTTAGAAATACAATGTGTTGGATCTACAAATGCCATTCACAGGATGCTCCTTTAAAACCAATGGGGATTATGTGCAAAGTCTGAGAGTTTTTGCAGGTGTCCCATGTTAACTAGCATCACTGGAATTCATTTTACATCAAAATGCTTTTATCTGGCTCCACTCTAGTGTAATATTACATAGCAAAATCAGGATGCTAGGGAATACTATGCATAGGACAAATAAAATCTCATTAAGCTGCTAAGATACTTTGAAGCTAGCTAATACTTATTCTATAATATAGGACAGACATATGGATATATATGCACATCCTATATTATCCCAAAGTAGATGAGCTGCGGTGGTGCAGTGGTTAGAATGCAGTACTGCAAGCTACATTTTCTGATTGCTGGTTGCTGCAATTTGACAGTTTGAATCTCATCAGAGTCAAGGTTCACTCAGCCTTCCATCCTTCCAAGGTCAGTAAAATGAGGACCCAGATTGTTGGGGACAGTATGCTGACTCTGTAAACCTCTTAGAGAGGTCTGTAAAACACTGTGAAGCGGTATATAAGTCTAAGTGTATTGCTATTGCTTTGTTCTTTTTCCCTGCTTCTATACTTTCGTTCTGTCCAATTTGTCTATTTTTTTTCCAAAAGTCTTCTTTGTACCCAATTTTCTTAGTATCTGCCATTGATGCACTTTTTAGAATATCTGATACTCGAAACATTCTCCTGGTTTAATACATTTTTTGCATCTCCCTCCTATATGTATCATTCCCATTAGTTTTGAGTTGCAAAATATGTTATAAAAATTATACTGAGAAAGTATAATGTTCCAGATAACTTAGAGGTTCCATAAGGATGAATTAGATAAGCTTTCATCAAATTGTGACTGTGTAAGGCAATCCTGTAAACCTACACAAGAGAGAAGAAGAATACCCAGTTCTCAAAGAGAAAAGACTTTGTTACTGCATCCAACCATAGCCCAGCTGTTTTTGCAACTAAAAATTCAGAAGCCACAGTGAATAGAGCTACATAGGACAAATCTGCTGAATCAGCACACAAAGAAAGGCTCCTCTCTTCCACCCCCTACTCAGTTTCCGGGAACCTGTTAAGAAGCCCCTGAGGGAAAAAAACCACAATATCTTTTTTGCCTCCCCCCCCCCCGCCACATGCGCACTTATCATCCTCATTCTCTTTAATATTATTAGGCCACATGAAGCCTGCATCTTCCTCTCTGAAATTCACTCTTCACCTTAGACGTACAGCTCAGGTTACACAAAGCCTCCATGGATAATTCATAACTACGGCAAGCAACGATATAATGTGCAAAGAACAGCATCTCCCCAATATATTTTTTTCTGCATCCGTTATCCGCTATCTCCATGGGTGCTGTTCAGTGACAACTAGCTGTGACTTCAGTAGGCAAGGCAGGAAGAGAAGCTTGTTAGCATGCAAGATTCTGGGATCAGAGTATTGCTAGATATACGTGCATGCAAAAGTTCCCTGGAGCTAGCCTAGCAGTGGAATCCACTCCCAGGACAAGTGACAAACCAGAGATTGTGTTGACAGGTGAACAATGAGAGGGAAGAGTTATCAGAGGAGATTGCCAGTCTACCGTGCATTTATAAACAACCCCTCTTAGAGGTGTATAAAGTGAAGATGCAGCAATGGTCAGAATGACTTCATAAGATACCTTTGGCAACAGCGTATTCCATACCATGATTTTCCACAACTATTGACTACTCCAATGAGCACCCTATGTGATTCCAAAGTGATTCCTTGACAATATAAGAGATATTTGATGCTGAGGAGACTAAAAGAGCCAATCATAGCTGGGAGAGCCACTCCTTTCAGGCCCATGGGCTTCCTGCTAATGAACTAAACAGCAAAGGAAACATAAAAGGAAGGAAGAAGGATAAATACCTAGGCACACACCAAATCTGACTGTGGTAAAGGTTAGGAAGCAGCTTTTACTACACTGGCTAAACCCCAAAAATCTTCTTGTTCAGATTCTGTAAAACAGAGGCAGCCTTCCATAAACATTTAACCCATGTATTCCTCCCTATCCCAAAGCCACCATTCTTGATCTAACCATTACACCAGGTGATCTGTAGTATCCTTTGGGTACTAATACTCTGGTATTAGGTCAACATTCAGTATAGCTGTTCTTTGCCTTCCTTGGCAAACATGCCAGGTTCTCCTTGAATTTTGGTTAGATGTTTTGGGGGATTTAATTTTAAGTATTCTTTTTTGCTAAAGCAAACTGTACACCAGCATTATACTATCTAAATTGGTTCAAGCAGCAGGATCAAGATTAAAGTGACAATCTGTGATTTTCCAGGAGAGGAAATTGCCAATGTGTCAGGTTTTTTTATGTTAACATAATTTATACTTGCTAGCAGTCAAACGAGGAAAAACAATTCCACAAAAATGAATGAAAACAGAAAGTCACTCATTTATGTATAAACTATATGGAATATTTAAATCTTACAATTAGAATTATTCAGGATAATTAAATCTTTTTAATGTGAAAGAGTGTTCTATATTGAAACCATTTTATGTATTTATGATTTATTTTATTCAGTTGGTATAGCCACTCATCTTGCCAAGAAAATTGTTCATTAATTTCTGTTAATTCCCTTCAGGTAAGGTCTGAACCAGAATTTACATGTATGAATAGTTTCCAAGACTCCCAAAGTTATGACTCATAATGTGACGCAGTATTGAAGATTTTAAATATTCCACTAGGTTTACACACTCTGATAGCAATACTGCTGATGCTGCTGTTAAACACAGATGCTGCTCTATAAACAAAGTGGTGTTTGGAGTTATACTGATTTATCAACAAATCCAAGAACATAGGGAGAAACAAGGTACCCATGAGGAGCATTCACACGACTTTTGTATATCTGGCTTCTCCAACCTGAATGGTCTCAACTTACGTTGGAATCAGCCTATCAACATTTTTCTTAATCAGTATGGCCAGTCATGATTGGGGAAGGGCAATCCATCCTATTGACAGCACAATCTTGGATAGCTGTCTCTCCAAAGAGAAAATCATGCAACTTAAAGGAAATTATGCAACTGAGGTTCTCCACACTGACTTTTATGCAAAATAAAGGATCTTTCCTACTAGTCATTTTGTTTGTTCCTTCCTAGAGATGGTCCTGTGTATAACAAATCATTTCGAACACTGGAGCCCTTTGCTTCATGTCTGTCATTCACATTATTGTTATTTATGGTTCCAGAAGGCATGCTATTTGTAGACACTGTTGTCTTCTATACAGATTTTAAATCTATTTGGGATGTTCCTGCTTCTGCTGTGTGGTCAGATCTCTGTGTTTCTTTTGTTCCCTAGAATGTGCAGGTTGCAAAGAGGAAATCAAGCAAGGCCAGTCCCTCCTGGCTTTAGAAAAACAGTGGCATGTCAGCTGCTTCAAGTGCCAAACCTGTGGAATCATCCTGACCGGAGAATACATTAGCAAGTGCGTGTTTCCACCTCTTCCCTATGCACATTTCAGCTGTATAAGCTAGTTGGGTGGGGATTCCTTCAAAGCTAAGTGTTGGATGGTATTCCCGAAGAATTATGAGACTTTTGTATATTAGACGCAACCAGTGAGAAAGAAATAATGCATCGCCTTCACTTCTAGAGGAAGCAAGAGCCACCTGTGCTTCCTTTTGCCTCACTTGTATAGATTTATTGAAGGCAATATAGGTAACCTTCTGAGAACCCCTTACTCCATAAGGAAGAGGCTTTTTAATGTGATTTTCTGGTTTTTGTAAAATTGGTACTTTTTCCAGTTGCTCAGTAAGAATTCCAAAAATGTCTTCAATTTGAACTCTCTGGGCTGAAATTCTGAAACTCTTCAAGTTAGAAATGAAGGCTCTAGGATGGTTGCAAGGAGCTGGGTTTCTCAAATCATAAACTATGGTAGTCTATTTCGCTATTTATTTGATTATTTGCTAATCTAATCAAAGGTTATATAGTCTAACCCCCACTAATTCAGAGATTAGTCCCGATTCATTTATTATCCCATCCCATCATTATATTTTCTACAACCTCAACAGCACTAGCACATTAACTAATTCTTTGTAAATATTATTTAAATTTTTTTAATGTAATCCTCATTTACAATAGCCTTGCTTAGATCATCCATCATAGCAGGCTTTCTGACAATGATCTTGCTATATGTACACATTTCAATGGGCAATCAAGTAATAATGGTGCCAGAAAACAATTCTCTCTGAAGAGAGAATGTAGATCAAGTTTTATGCAGGTGTCATTCAACAGAGCACATAAATGCTGCAGTATAAAATGCTCATATCTGCACTATGGAGATGAAGAGAGAATTAAATAAATGATGTTGCACAATCCCAATGCCAAATAATATCTGAAGCTGTTTTAACAAAGACGTGTTTTGTCTAGACTAAATAAAACAGCAGATTTCCTTTTATTGGGAGTAACATTATCTATAATTCATTAAAAGATAATTGTTTGTAAAACTGCCATTAGCAATGAAAGTCATTGGACAACTTCTGTTAAAACCCAATTTAAGAGCCACATTTATGGTGCAATTAATGGTTTTATTATTCTGTCTCAATGATTAATCGGTGAGTACCTTTAGCCCTGGAGCAACCTGTGAGCATATTCCACCAAAGGACCCCTTAAAGATGAATGGGTTCTGCTCAATAAGGAAAGAAAAGCAGAGAGGGTGACTTTATGCGCCAGATAACAGGCAGAAAACTGATCCATGGTGGTTCTGACATTCTGCTTTTCTAGCTTTGCTTTCNTGTCAGGACATATTTGTACCTTAGTTAGCTATAAGTGAAAAGCCCAAAGCTGCAATAACCAGATGTCTTTGGATCAAGACCTTCATCAGCTAAAGAAACATGAACATAAGTGTATTAATTGTACCACTGAGTTTCTCTTAAGTACACTCATCCACAGGATTTCATGCCAACTCATTGTCTTCTAGAATCTACTAATCATTCTAGCCTAATAGGCTCACTTTTAATGGGCCAATTTTCTCATATCTCTAATCGCCTAAGAAAATAGTGCAGCACCTCATTTCCAAATAATGTCAAGTGAAAGGCAATTCGTGGAAATTATCTTTGATGAACATTAGCTTCAGGTGCATTTTAGACAAGAGAAAGCCATGGCTGAATTCATTCAGTTTAAACCTTCGGGGTTCTTTTGACTCCCCAGTCTTTTAGCAGCTTTCGTGACTCTCAGTCACAACTATCTTTCTGGATCACGCTTGGGTGTGAGGTGTAAAAGGCCTGAAGATCCAGGATGAGTGATCCCCAAAAGTTGAAGGTCAGTTTAAGTAATACCTTTATTGCAGCCACTGCCCTGGTTTAGTTCCCGAGTCTAATTGAAACAGCTGGTTTTGATCCTTAAAAAGCTCTGTGACTTAAATTTGGGATAACTCAAGAAATGGGGACCAGTGCCATTGGTTTATGGCTGGCATTGGATATGCTTCTGCTTAGTTTACTATGGAGGACAATTAGACTAGTGAGAAAAACAAGATGAGATTTCTTCCATAGTGTTCTTGTGCATCTGGAATCAGTTGTCACCTGGCATTTATCACATAATTTAGCAGGCATTTGCAAGAGTGTTAAATGTGCACCTAATTTCTTCTTCCGAATTGATTTTATCTTCCCAGACTTTTAGCTGAAGACATTTCATTCATTTGTTTATATGCTGTCAACTACTAAATCACTGTTTGCATTTTGCAGCCTGCAATGTTTGTTCTGGTGCTTATTTTATTTTTGTTCTAATATTGTGTTGGATTTTTAAGTCCATGTTTGAGAAGGAGAAGTCCATAAAGCATGTGTAAGCAAGAGGGTTTTTCCTCCGATAAATCCCAAAGCCACATGGAGCAATAAAGACAGATTAGCAATATTTTAAACCCAGCAAAGCAACCTTTTACATGTGCACATTCAGATATACTCTGTGGCCTGCCACAAAACATCTTCATCCTCTACATGCTGAGATATTATAGATCGATCCAGCAGCTTAATTAGAAAAAGTTGTATATAGGAAGCAGCATCCTCATGCTGTGCCTACACCATCTAAACTAGGGGTGTCAAACTTGATTTCATTGAGAGCTGCATCAGGATTGTGTTTGTCCTCGGGGGTGGGGGTGGGAGGGCGTGGCCAGGGTGGGCATGACCAGCTCAATGTCACTCATGTCAAGGACGCCTGTGGTGGCCCAAGCGCTCTGCCAGCGAAAATGGGCTGCCGAGCTCCATTTTCGTTGGCAGAGGCACCACAGGTCAGTCCTTCGCTGTTTCCAGGGCAGCCCCACAAACATATCTAAGCATTCTGCAGGCTGGATCCAGCCCATGGGCCCTGAGTTTGACACCTCTGATCTAAACCATCTCCTGGCTCTCTAGGACACAATTGTTTGACTAGCAGTGGAAAGATTATATGCCAAGGAAAAGGGTGACAAGGTGGGTATCTTCCTAGATATCCTTCCTCCATCAGCACATTTGCAGAAACAATGGCCTGCATTACACAGGGGTTGATAGTGGTGCATAGGTGACTTATAATCCTTTAAAGGTAACTTGAACTAAATGGTGACAACCAAATCAACCATGGCTGGCTTTGAAAAACTATGCAGTGCTAACCCCAATTAGTGTTAGGGTGACAGATAATGAGGAAATTTCTGTAGGTTAGACTTGGAAATCAAAAGGCCAGCTAGCAACAAGAAGCTTTTTCCACACTGTTGCCAAGAAAACTATATGGATATGTCCATGAGATCAATAGCAGTTGAAACTTTATCTCAGTGTTTTAAAAGTAAATAATTTTTGTCTGTTTGTTTTTCTGTAATTGTTGTTATTTGTACCCCTTCCCTCATGGTTGTTCGCCGCCCTGAGTCTCTCGGGAATAGGGTGGCATACAAGTTGAATAAACCTAACCTAACCTAACCTAACCCTAAAATGCTTTTAGAAAAATAGCATGTTTGTTAGAGCAGTGGTCTCCAACCTTGGCAACTTTAAGACCTGTGGACTTCAATTCCCAGAATTCCTCAGCCAGCTTTGCTGGC